TCTGGGGCGTGCTAGAGTGTAATGGTAGTTGGGTAATTTCCATTTATAGGTTGTACCTGGCATGGGGACTTGGGGTGGGGGGTGTGTTATTAGGGCGAGTGTTTGTGTTCGATGTTGTCGTTAGTGTGGCGGGGTTGAAATAGGGGAGGGCGAGAAGAGTAGGGGATTTTCGATGGGAGCGTACGAAAGCCATAAAGGTGGGGCGTGGGACCGGTTTGTCATGTACATCGTCCACAAGTTTTTTTTCTCACCCGCCTTTCTTTCTTTTCTCCCTCTCCACCCCCGACCCTCCTTTACGATTTTCTTTAACGTTCCTTCTTCCATTCCCTTCACTTTTCCTCTCTCCCTTTCATTCTTTTTCTTTCCTTCTTTTCCCGCCCTTTCTCTTCCCCGTTTATCTTGTTAGCCTTGTGTCAGTGGATTAGTCGGTGTTTCATAGGTTTAGTTAGGACAATATTCTTGGTTTTCTCAGTTTGTGGGCGTTCTAGAAATTGAGAGAGAGTTTTCCAAGGTCTTTTTTATATCTCCCTCAGTGTCTAGTTGAATCTACTGGAGTAGTATAGTTGTTTGGCTTTTTTTATTACTTTGGTGAGAGCTGATGAATAGTGTTTATAGAGAATATCTTTGTGTATTAGCCCTGTTATAAAGTTTTCCATATTTGTGTTTCTTGTAATGGCATTTCAGACTGTACCCCCCTCGACGGCCTACTGGTTAGCCAGGGGGCAACCATGCGTTTGTTGGTGATCTGTTTTGATTTTATAGGACAATGTGTGTTGTATAGTCTAAGATAATTTGTTAAGAAAGATGTCTGTTCCAGTAATCAATACCATTGGCCTTGGAGAATTCTGTAGGCAATCAACAGTCTCTAGGTCAGCTGTGAACTTTCTTATGAGGCCTCGTCATGGAGTCTAATGAGACTTTGTTGTATTTCAAGTGGTGTTTTACTAAGTTTGTCAGGAGGAAGGTAGGGTGTGGTCTGTAGTGCTATCTGTGATTATCCCTGATTAAGGGGGGCTAGTTTATTGGTCCTTTATGTGGTTATTATGGTTGCACTTTGTATCAGTAGCCTGGTTGGTTTGTTATTGTTGGGTATGAGAAGTGTGTTGTTTCATTAGTGTTGATGAAATCAGTTACAGGCTGATCATCTAGCTAAGCCAAGGGTTGATGTTGAAGTCTCCAGCTAAGAAACGGTGGTGCTTATTCATTTGTCTGTTTGTTAATTAGATGACTTTAATTTCTCACTCGAATTTGGGATGTTTGTATCGTCTGTGAGGTATCGGTTAAATGGCACCAATTGTTATTGGCCGTCCTTAGGTTTTTTAACAGTAAAATTAGCAAAAATGTATTACCCGTATTCATCACTAAAGCAAGGTGGTTGTGCTAAGACAAGAATAATTGGTTAGAGTACATAGATTGCATACCACCCCATATTGGTGTGTTTTCTGCATGTTGTGAATCTGATTGTGTATCTGGGTAGAGGGAAGGAAAAGGTTAGGATATCTATTGTGTCCTGCTGATGCCCAGTTCAGTAAGAATAATGCAGGAAGAAGGGTGTCTTTAGTATTCAAGGAGTCGCAAGGAGGTCATCATAGTGTTTGCTTAAGGACCTGAGTTGTAGTTTAGTACTGATAGACTTTTAGCATTGTTTAAGGATAGTGGTGGCTTGTGATGCTGTGTAATAAAAGCAGTTACTTTCCTAATAGGTTTTGATTGGGTCTTGTCAGATTATGAGTTAGTTAGGGTCACGTGATCAATCATCTTCTAGGTTTAAACATTATGGTCTATTTTATCATCCCCCCCTTCGTGTTGTGTGTTAGAAGTTCTATACTGATATCTGTAGTGCGTTGGAAGTTGGACAAGTATATATCTAGAGTATTTTGGTCATGTAGGGTATAGTCATACTAACATAATGAAGTATGATGTTGTCTGTGTGTTGTGCTGGAATGAACTAAAAGCTACAACTAGGTATAAAAATGTACTATAAAATTCAAGTTTAAAATAGAACAAGACTCTCACTTGTAATTGCATAATGTCTAATATGATTTTGTGGGAGTCTATGTTTTGAGCTAGTGTGAGCTAAAAGTGCATATAGGTTTTTAATCTAATAATTAAAAGTACAATTAAAAATAGCACTGTTCTCTCACTTAGCAATTGCAATGTGTCTAATATAGTGAAATTGGTATTTGACTTATGCCTTGGGGTAGGAATGAGCTTTCGGTAACAACTGAATTTAATCTAATAATATAAAATACAAACATTAAAAAAATACCATACAAATCTAAAAGTAGCACCAGTCTCTACACTAGTATTTGCCACTATGTCTAGTATAGTGATCTTTGGTATTGAATATGTATTGAGCTAGAATGACCGCTATAGTAAATGTGTTTAATCTATTATATAATAAAGGAACAAGACTCATCAATCTGGAATTGCACTAAGGTTGAATAATAGTTGTTTACAAGTTTAGAGTATAATTAGATTTAAAATTGACAGGATAAAATTAAAGGTAGCAAAAATAAAAATATTTAATAAAAAATAATAGATATGATAAAAAATAAAATGCGCAATCAATGACTTGGTTATAATATGTACAGTAAGATGAGTACGAATCAGGATGATATAAAAGTTGTAGTTGCAAAATACACGGTTTAAAAACAGTATGGAATAAAAAACTGGTCATTTAAAAGAGTTTACAATAAGTTTGATCAATATAGTTTTAAGTTAAAATTGGGCAATAATAGGGATTTAGAATAAAATTGGGCAATTGAGTCATTTTATAAAGTGATGTGGTAGAATTATGGAAGAACAAAGTTATGGTTAGTTTATTACTGAAGAGAATAAGATGGAACATGTGATGTGGTAAATAAGTTGTAATAAAGAGAGATAGTTTCTGTAGGATATTTAATACAATGTTAAGACTATGAGGTAGAATGGCTCGTTGAGTACAAACAAGACAATTTAAAAGTAGCTTGGTGTTTAGGTATTTTAGGGGGGCACAAATTTATGAAAATATTGCGACAATATAACACTAATGGGGATTATGGCGTATTATCTGCACTTTACTATGATTCTAGTTAGTTCACAGCCTCACTTCGGAATGCTGTAAGGTTAATATTCTGTGGAGATGAAAGTATCTCTTTCCGCTGGGCTGTTTCCTAATGTATTTTTCCATCCCTCACAAAGCACTGAGTGGATTTTTTGGGCATAGCGCAGTTTCTTAGCCGATATTAAAGAAGGTTATGTCTCATTTTGAGTAAGGCACTCATGACGTAACATCAGTTTTCCATAGTAATTAAGATGTTTGTAAGTAAGCTATTGGAATTTTAAAAGACCACTGTTTTTTTACTGCATGATAGCCCATCAGTTTGCCAATCCTTTAAGTCATCTAACGTATGTTAAGGCGAAGGTGGTTCCTTGTTAAGCCTGTAGGGTGGTCTCCCATGCAGGTTCTTGGGTGATGTGGGTGGACGACTGTTTTTGCTGTTAACTAAACAGCGTCAGATAGTGCTGTTGGTCATTTATGGTCTTGGAAGTTGGTTATGACATTGGCAAGTTGTTGGTCCACTCTTGTCTTTCCTTGTAATGTTGGGAGTAAGTAGAGGTTGACTTGGTCTCTTTAGAGTGTTGATGGTGTCTAGGGACCGGGTGTGGGTGTGCTTTCGTTGATTGTTCTTGAGTGTCTAGTTTTAGTTCTAGAGCAGTTTTCTTGTTGAGGTAATCTGCATGTGCTAGCTTTTGTTCCTGCATTTCTTGAGTTAGTTGGGTGATCGTTTGGTTCTGGACTCATAGGAGTTTAGCTATTTCTGGGGATCCGGTGATCTTCTTGACAACAAATATGGAAGGGAGTTATCTTGCGACTGTAGCGGCGGGCCATGTTTGTTGTTGTCTGTCGGTGTGTTGTTGTGGTTGTCGGTGGGTGATGCAGGGTTTGTGTCTGGATGGCAGTACCAAGTTTTCCTCGGGTTTTGCTGCTCTCACCTTTGATGTTAGGAGTCCTTAGCTGGTTACTGGTATCTCTTTTATTGTTTGACCTTGTCCATTGGCTGTGGCTTCGGTGTGAATAGTAGGCGATGGGTGTTGGGTGAATGTTGTGGAGTATCACTTCAGTGGCAGCGGGGTAGAAGTTGCTAGATGGAGTCCTATTTGTTGGTAATTTGTGAACTTTTGGGTGATTTCTGCAGTTGCTTTATATCATTCTGGGTATCCACGCATGTTAGTGTTATGCGGGTCTTGATTAGGTCATCACTGGGCTGCTGGGAACCTCAGGTAGAAGTAAAAATAGAGGACAAGGTTCCTGTTGACGCTGCCGCTGCCGCTGCCGCCTTTGGGCATTAATAACATTTGTTGTTTGGCATTACAATCCTTTACATTATGATTACCTAGACATCTGATACATCTGTCAAATTCTTCCAGTCTTTCTACTTTAACATCCCATGAATTATAGGCATCACAATTCTTAGAGAAATGCGTACCCTTGCAGAAGAGACAATCTCTCTCTCTCTCTTTGACTGTCTTCTTATTAACTGGGCTACTCTTATGAGGGTACTTATTCCTCTTACTTTGATGTGGAGAATCACTATTTCTGATTCCTGCCACTTGATATGTGCCTATACAACTCTTTTTAGGAGATGAATTATGATTATTAACATTGGGATAATTTTTCCCTTTGTGAAACGACAGATTCCTCAGAGTTATTATGTGTTGTATCTTTAAAATTATTTGTCTGGCTGGTCTGCAACTGAATAATTAATTCTTGCAGACCTAGTCTTATTTCCTATAGACCAAAATAACCCTTGTGGTATTTATTCAATTGCCACAGCTCAATTTATTCTGTACAATGGCACTCAATAACCAGTCTGATCCATCCAGATTATATTTATTACTTAAGGTTTTAAGAGTGCTCTCCAGTTTAACTCTAAACTGCTGTAAACTTTTGTAATTGTGATCTTGAGTTTTTAAATTAACAGTAATACTTACTAGATCAATCTACTTTGTTCCAGATTGCCGTAAGTGACCTTCAACAAGTCAACTGCTTCTTTGTAAGAGTCATCTAGATTGGGAAAAGCTTGTACGAACATATGGGCATCTCTTCTTATCTGTCCTTTGAGGTAAGATAATTTGGTAACACATGCCAGATCATTCCTATCATGCACAGCTGCTTTTAAAAATTCACCAAAACTCCTCCCAGGTTTCTCCAGGATTAAATACAGGTAAACATAATTCTGGGAGTTATTGCAAAGACATCTTATTTATATTAATAGGTTGACTAACTGCCTGGTTTACACCTTTTAATTTTTTCGAAGCCTTACCTTTACAGGACAGAATTTTTTCTTCTAATTCATAATAACGATTAATTAAAATATCCAATTCTTTTTCATCTACACAATTTACCAGTAAATCTCCTTCATATTTTTGTGAAATAATTTGTATGACTCGAATCTATTTCCTAAAGCATCTAAATACAATTTTAAATCATCAGTATTCACAGTTTCTTGATTCATTAATTCCAAGCACTTATTGTATGCCTTGGTTACATGACCTTTCCTAGTCTGTAATGATGCTTTCTTTGCTCTATATTCCATGGGCTTGTCATCTACATTAACTTCCTCAGTTTCACCCATGGCTCAATATATTAAATTCATCTTAATTCATAAACACTGATTATGCCCTTAATTATACACTTTATGAAGGTAAATATTACAACTTGAGCTTAGCAATTACACATGTAAGGAAATTATAATATAAATTTTAAATACACATTAATATAAATCCTAGCCACACTTGGCTTATCAAAATATTGTACAAATACACATTAATATAAATCCTAGCCACACTTGAGCTTAGCAATTACACATTTAAGGAAATTAATTTTTTTTTCAACCGGCTGTATCCCACCAAGGCAAGGTGACCCAAAAAAAAAAACGAAAGTTTCTCTTTTTAAATTTAGTAATTTATACAGGAGAAGGGGTTACTAGCCCACCGCTCCCAGCATTTTAGTCGCCTCTTACAACAAACACGCATGGCTTATGGAGGAAGAATTGTGTTCCACTTCTCCATGGAGATAAGAGGAAATAAACAAGAACTAGAAAGAAAATATAAAAAAACCAAGGGGGTGTGTATATATATGCTTGTACATGTATGTGTAGTGTGACCTAAGTGTAAGTAGAAGTAGCAAGACGTACCTGAAACCTTGCATGTTTATGAGACAGACAAAAGACACCAGCAATCCTACCATCATGTAAAACAATTACAGGATTCCATTTTACACTCACTTGGCAGGACGGTAGTAGCTTCCTGGGTGGTTGCTGTCTACCAACCTACTACCACAGGACGGTAGTACCTCCCTGGGTGGTTGTTGTCTACCATCCTACTACCACAGGACGGTAGTACCTCCCTGGGTGGTTGCTGTCTACCAACCTACTACCACAGGACGGTAGTACCTCCCTGGGTGGTTGTTGTCTACCAGCCTACTACCACAGGATGGTAGTACCTCCCTGGGTGGTTGCTGTCTACTACCAACCTACTACCACAGGACGGTAGTACCTCCCTGGGTGGTTGTTGTCTACCAACCTACTACCACAGGACGGTAGTACCTCCCTGGGTGGTTGCTGTCTACCAACCTACTACCACAGGACGGTAGTACCTCACTGGGTGGTTGTTGTCTACCAGCCTACTACCACAGGACGGTAGTACCTCCCTGGGTGGTTGCTGTCTACCAACCTACTACCACAGGACGGTAGTACCTCCCTGGGTGGTTGTTGTCTACCATCCTACTACCACAGGACGGTAGTACCTCCCTGGGTGGTTATCTACCAACCTACTACCACAGGACGGTAGTACTCTCCTGGGTGGTTGCTGTCTACCAGCCTACTACCACAGGACGGTAGTACTCCTGGGTGGTTGCTGTCTACCAGCCTACTACCACAGGACGGTAGTACCTCCCTGGGTGGTTGTTATCTACCAACCTACTACCACAGGACGGTAGTACCTCCCTGGGTGGTTGTTGTCTACCACCTACTACCACAGGACGGTAGTACCTCCCTGGGTGGTTGATGTCTACCAGCCTACTACCACAGGACGGTAGTACCTCCCTGGGTGGTTGATGTCTACCAACCTACTACCACAGGACGGTAGTACCTCCCTGGGTGGTTGATGTCTACCAGCCTACTACCACAGGACGGTAGTACCTCCCTGGGTGGTTGTTATCTACCAACCTACTACCACAGAACGGTAGTACCTCCCTGGGTGGTTGTTGTCTACCAACCTACTACCACAGGACGGTAGTACCTCCCTGGGTGGTTGCTGTCTACCAACCTACTACCTAGTAAGGAAATTAATATTGTAGCAATTATAATCCACTACACAATTAAGTAAATTTGTGGACCCAACATCACTTCAGTCATGTCACTTATTATTATTAAGTAATTAATTCACTGATTAATGAATTCACCAATTACATCCGGTCCAATCAAGGACCAGCGGGCAACTGTGGGAATTAAATTACCTGCAAGAACCTCATTATATTCATACCAGTAATTTAATGAAAGCAACAGAGACAACTGTTTCTTACTAATTGCTACAAGTCTGAGACATGTAGCAATATTTTGAGACACCCTGGGTCACCAGGAGAATGTCTCCCTTCGACACCCACTACCCTCATACAATCCCACAAATTACTCTGGACCTATGAATATTAACTTCAAATTTAATAAACACAACCAGTAATTCTGGTAATAATATTTACATTAAAATTATGTGGGCTGTATAATGTTATATTAACAAAGAAGGAATACATGTATTTATACATTACATGAGAAAAAATTTGTTACCAACACTCGCCAAATTTGTCTGGAGATTGCTTAGTGTAGCTAGGTCACCCACAACCCCTGCCTAGATATGAGGAAACTAACTGGCTAGAAGTTCAACATATTAAGTTCATTACACTTAGCTGTGGGTGTTGATGGCTCCTTATTATCCCCTTTAACATCTAATTTCTAAGTCCTGCCAAGTCATTGGCTTCTCACATTCTGCAGGACTGTAACTCCGAATATTCTTGCTACTATTTGGGAGGCTTAAACCACATTTTACCTCCAGAGCCACTGAATAATTCCCTCTAAGAGATTATGAGTTTAAAGTTGCATGAGAATCGAAGACTAACCCAAAAGGATTATTTCAAGTGTAAGATCAGGGACAAGATAGGCCCACTCAAAAGTTACTCAGGCCAGATTATGGACAGTGATAAGGAAATGTGTAGAATTTTTAACACATATTTCCTGTCAGTTTTTACACAGGATGAAACTAGCAATAATCCAGAAATAATAAATTATGTAGAACAGGATGATAAACTATGCACGATTAGGGTCACAAGTGACATGGTCCTTAGGCAAATAGATAAATTAAAACCTTACAAATCCCCAGGCCCTGATGAACTGTACGCAAGGGTTCTAAAGGAATGTAAAGAGGAGCTTAGCAAACCTTTGGCTAATCTTTTCAATATATCACTACAAACTGGCAGGGTGCCAGATAAGTGGAAAACGGCAAATGCGATACCTATTTTCAAAGCAGGTGACAGGTCCTTAGGGGGGATATGATTGAGGTGTATAAATGGAAGACAGGAATAAATAAAGGGGATGTAAATAGTGTGCTGAAAATATCTAGCCTAGGCAGGACTCGCAGCAATGGTTTTAAGTTGGAAAAATTCAGAGTCAGGAAGGATATAGGAAAGCACTGGTAATAGAGTTATAGATAAGTGGTAATAGAGTTGTGGATAAGTGGTAATAGAGTTGTGGATAGGTGGAACAAACTCCCAAGTACAGTTATGGAGGCTAAAACGTTGTGTAGTTTTAAAAATAGGTTAGATAAATACACGAGTGGGTGTGGGTGGGTGTGAGTTGGACCTGATTAGCTTGTGCTACTGGGTCAGTTGCTGTGTTCCTTAAGTGAATGTGACCTGACCTGACTAGGTTAGGTGCATTGGCTTAAGCCAGTAGAAGAATTGGACCTGCCTTGCATGGGCCAGTAGGCCTGCTGCAGTGTTCCTTCTTTCTTATGTTCCTATGTTCTCAAATTTACAGTCGTCTTGTTCCTCCAATTCCAATATGGCATCCCTCCTCCACCAGAAGCTCCTTGTTTGCTGGTTAACTTTTTAATTCCCAAATTTAATTTTAACCAACAACAATGTACTTCATTAAAGTACATGCTAAAATGCACTATATTTCCGAAAATGCACAATATTTTCCACACTTAGCATCTACCTTTGCCAGCGGAAGGATGTGGCAACTTATTTGATCTCCCAAACATTCACATCCACCTAAAACAAACGCTAGTTGGCAAAGGCAGTGTGTGTACTATTAATTGATATATTCATCCTAAAAGGAAAGTTTAGGTTGGTTTATATTAGAATTAGTGACATAAATTTAGATAATGTAGCCTTAGACCTTAGTCTTTCTTTCAACAAACCGGCAGTATCCCACCGAGGCAGGGTGGCCCAAAAGGAAAAACGAAAGTTTCTCCTTTTACATTTAGTAATATATACAGGAGAAGGGGTTACTAGCCCCTTGCTCCCGGCATTTTAGTCGCCTCTTACAACACACATGGGTTACGGAGGAAGAATTCTGTTCCACTTCCCCGTGGAGGTAAGAGGAAATAAACAAGAACAAGAACTAGTAAGAAAAATAGAAGAAAACCCAGAGGGGGGTGTATATATGTATATGCTTGTACATGGTATAAACCTTGGTAATAAATACCGACAAGTTGGTTTAGAAAGACACGTAAGCAAACACTATAACATATTTATTAGAAAACGTTTCGGTCCTGGGACCTTGATCACTTCTAACATACAGAGGTAGAAGACATTATATTAGGCGGAGAGTGGGTGTGACGAAAGTGACCTGGGGAATGTCATAAGAACATAAGAATGGAGGAACACTGTAGAAGGCCTACTGGCCCATGCAAGGCAGGTCCTTATCAAAACCACCTCTGCCTATGATGAGGACGGGTAGACGATGAAATCACGTGACTCCTGTGTTGTTGGGTTGGTGCTGCTTAAGTATCATGTATCCCAAAATGTTTTTGAAATTTTGTAGTTTCCAGTGTTGCGTTCAATAGT